GGGGGGGGGCAAGGAGCTGGGCCTAGGGAAGTAAAGAGATAAAGACGGGCGGGAGTGGGGAGTTTCTGGAAGAGAAAATAGGGAGAGGGAACTTTTATGCATTTTGTAATAAAACAAATCACCAGGAACATGGTTTGTCTGACCCCGTGACTCCTACAAATGCCCTCTGGGTGAGATACTTAGATATGGACATAATTGTGACACACTTGCCCATGAAGTCTAATTCAGGAGCAGCTGCTTTTCTCACTCCTTCCGGCTTCAGCTGAGGGGTGGGGAGAGAGCTTCCTCTTTGCGCTGGGGCCCCAGCAGACGCTGAATTCGCTGAATTCTTCTCCGTGAGACAAGATACCCAGGTTGTTCAGCTCTACTGATAGTTGGCTTCATGTCTTGGAGCTTGTTCCTCGTCTACTTAACAGTAGACTTTCATAATGCTTCATAATGAATTCTCCGATTCCCTTTCCACGAGACTGTGTGAGAATGAATGCTGCAGGGAGGGGTATGTTTGGAGGGACAGGAGAAAGGGTTGAAACAGAGTGTGCTTTATTGGTGCAGACTTGCTCAGACCCCAAATCCAAGCCACCTTTTTTACTGGAAAAGTCCATGGAACCTTCTCTCAAGTATATCAACAAGAAATTTCCCAACATTGATGTCCGAAGCAGCACGGTGAGAACATGATCCCTCTCCTCTCTTTTCTCTGAAATAATTCTGTGCTTGGATGGCTTGAACTCGCCTCTTTTAACTGCCTTTCTTTGAACTTGGCAGGGGATAGAGTAGCCTCCTTTTAGCTTTCCTGGGCTCAACCACAGGTCTTCAGGCTCTTGTAATCTTGAGAGTTCTGAGATAAGATGGGATTCTCTCAGGGTAAGCTAGAGCAAAGCATTGCCCCTTTCTCCGTTGCAAGATTCATGAGAACACTTTGTTCTTATAGAGGAAGACAGCTTGATCAACCCACCAAGGTACATTTATTTTACCGTTGTTCCTGTTTCCCCCTCTGTTTCCTTGCTGATTATCTGAGAAGCAGGCATCTCGTGGAATGTTCCTTAGTTCTCCTCCATTAAATATTAGCCCTAGATTTCTTACCATTATACGTATAGCATCTTCTCATTCTGCTTCTTTTGACTTTAATATAAATGGCAAGCCTCTTTGACTGAAAGAGACCTTGAAGTTTCCTCTCATTTAGCACTCTGTATCTAGTCAAGATTATACGCATCATCTTACCTAGAGACTTAAGACCTTCAGAGCATTGGAGATTTTCCAACTTTGCCTGTCAGTGTATTTCAAGTCTTTTCAAGAATGTTTTAGGCATGACTCCTATTCTTCTTGGATTATCTTGAACAATTATGTTATTTTGTGTTTTAAAATTTTTGCTTTGTGTTTCCCTCAGCAACATTTAGGACCAGTACATCGAGAAAAATCTGAGATAATTAGATTCCTCATCAACTACTACCAGTCATTTGTGGATGTCATGGAATTTCGGGTGAGCTCTCTCTAGCCTAGGATCCCAGTATAGGCATTATCCTTCTGAGGCTATTCCTTCTTTAGTAGATGTTCATTTATGTTTCTTAATATTGTTTCTTGAAAAAGTAAGGGATTGGGGCTCCTGGGTGGCTCAGTCGGTTGGGCGACCGACTTCGGCTCAGGTCATGATCTCGCAGTCCGTGAGTTTGAGCCCCGCATCGGGCTCTGTGCTGACAGCTCAGAGCCTGGAGCCTGTTTTGGATTCTGTGTCTCCCTCTCTCTCTGACCCTCTCCCATTCATGCTCTGTCTCTCTCTGTCTCAAAAATAAATAAATGTAAAAAAAAAAAATTAAAAAAAAAAAAGAAAAAGTAAGGGATATGTACTGATGTGGAAGGATATCTTGGTTAAAGAAAAACAAGTTATAGTGTATGATATAATTACATTTCATTTATGGGGCACCTGGGTGGCTCTGTTGGTTAAATGTCTGATTCAGCTCAGGTCATGGTCTCATGGTTTGTGAGTTCAAGCCCTGCATTGGGCTCTGTGCTTACGGCTCAGAGACTGGAGCCTGCTTCGGACTCTGTGTCTCCCCCTCTCTCTGCCCCTCCCTGCTTGTGCTGTCTCTCTCTCTCTTGAAAATAAATAAACATTAAAAAAATAAAAATAAATAAAAGGATACATAGGTTTGTATATATACATAGTGTTAGTATGTACTTGGGCAGATTTGGAACGTTATACATTTAACTGTTAGGAATAACTACCTGTGGGAGTAGACTATGATTAACTTTAATTTATTACAGTGTATATATTTAAGCATTATTAAGTATTCAAGTATTTTAAGTACCATTCCCCAATATTTTATTACAAATCTGAAAAATTTCAAGAATATTACAATGAATATGATTCTATTCTTCTCTTAGATTTCCTAATTGTTAGTATTTTATCATGTTTGCTAATCTTTATTGTTTTCCTGAACCATTTGAGTTAGTTGCAGATGTCGTGCCATTTCCCTTCCTAAATACTTTAGCATACATCTAAGAACAAGAATATTTTCTTACATAATCCTAATATAATTATCGCACTCAGGAAATGTAACATTACTGCAATATTATTAGTTTTAACATACAGTCAGTGTTCACATTCTACTAGTTGTCTCACGTATAACACATTGGATTTAGCTGTCATGTCTCTGTAGTCTTTTTTTTTTTTTTAATTTTTTTTTTTAACGTTTTATTTATTTTTGAGACAGGGAGAGACAGAGCATGAACAGGGGAGGGTCAGAGAGAGGGAGACACAGAATCTGAAACAAGCTCCAGGCTCTGAGCTGTCAGCACAGAGCCCAACGTGGGGCTCGAACTCACGAACCGCGAGATCATGACCTGAGCCGAAGTTGGCCGCTTAACCGACTGAGCCACCCAGGTGCCCCTGTAGTCTTTAGAATAGTTCCCAACCGGTTTTTTTTTTTTTTTTTCCTTATGTCTTTGATGACACTGACTTTTTGGAGTCCAGACTATCCAGACTAGTTATTTTTCAGAATATCCCTCAATTTGGATTTGTCTGATTTGTTAACTCTCTGATTGTAGTTTTGGTAGCAATACTACATAGATGATATTTTCTTTGTGTTTTAAATAATGAGCAGGTACTATTTTTGTAAATGTAAACAAACTGTAAAAATTATTTGGTATGATGTTTTTGAAGGGCAAATTGATGATGTGTTTCAAAAGTCTTAAAAACACACGTTTTTTTTGTTTTTGTTTTTTTTAAAGTTTATTTTGAGAGAGAGAGAGAGAGAGAG